TTATTGACTATAATCTTCTCTTGTAAGTGTTCGACACTTACTGACTATAATCTCCTCTTGTAAGTGTTCGACACTTACTGACTATAATCTCCTCTTGTAAGTGTTCGACACTTACTGACTATAATCTCCTCTTGTAAGTGTTCGACACTTACTGACTATAGTCTCCTCTTGTAAGTGTTCGACACTTACTGACTATAATCTCCTCTTGTAAGTTTAGTTTCTGGTGATCTGCTTTTAACTAGCAAGTCCGTCTGGTGCTGCGCCGACACCCGCTGCCACCCTGACCCCTGGTGACCCCTGGTGACCCCTGGTGACCCCTAGTGACCCATGTGGTTACAATTACGTAACCTCTGACCCCGGGTAGCCAACACCCATGTCTCTTTCTTTGTCAAAACCGCCGCTGTCACTCACCGCCAGTGATGCACTTAGTTATTGTGTGTGTGGAAAGAAAGGTACTTCCTTCTTGGGGGTGGGGGTGCTTCCTTGCTTCCTGGGGTGGGGGTGCTTCCTTGCTTCCTGGGGTGAGGGTGCTTCCTTGCTTCCTGGGGTGGGGGTGCTTCCTTGCTTCCTGGGGTGGGGGTGCTTCCTTGCTTCCTGGGGTGGGGGTGCTTCCTTGCTTCCTGGGGTGGGGGTGCTTCCTTGCTTCCTGGGGTGGGGGTGCTTCCTTGCTTCCTGGGGTGGGGGTGCTTCCTTGCTTCCTGGGGTGGGGGGTGCTTCCTTGCTTCCTGGGGGTGGGGGTGCTTCCTTGCTTCCTGGGGTGGGGGGTGCTTCCTGGGGAGGGGGTGCTTCCTTCTTCCTGGGGTGGGGGTGCTTCCTTGCTTCCTGGGGTGGGGGGGTGCCTCCTGGGGTGGGGGTGCTTCCTTGCTTCCTGGGGTGGGGGTGCTTCATTTCTTCCTGGGGTGGAGGTGCTTCCGTGCTTCCTGGGGTGGGGGATGCTTCTTGCTTCCTGGGGTGGAGGTGCTTCCTTGCTTCCTGGGGTGGGGGTGCTTCCTTGCTTCCTGGGGGTGGGGTTCTTCCTTGCTTCCTAGGGTGGGGGGTGCTTCCTTGCTTCCTGGGGGTAGGGGTGCTTCCTTACTTCCTGGGGGTATGGGTGCTTCCTTGCTTCCTGGCGTAGGGTGCTTCCTTGCTTCCTGGGGTGGGGTGCTTCCTTGCTTCCTGGGTGTAGGGGTGCTTCCTTGCTTCCTGGGGTAGGGGTGCTTCCTTGCTTCCTGGGGGTGGGGGTGCTTCCTTGCTTCCTGGGGTGGGGGTGCTTCCTGGGGTGGGGTTGCTTCCTTGCTTCCTGGGGTAGGGGTGCTTCCTTGCTTCCTGGGGTGGGGGTGCTTCCTTGCTTCCTGGGGGTAGGGGTGCTTCGATGCTTCCTGGGGGTAGGGGGCTTGCCTCTCTCCTGAGGTAGGTGCTTTCCTCCTACGTAGGAGTGCTTCACTCCTAAGGTTCTACACACCTGGTAGGGGGATTAGTCTTCCTAGTAGCTAGTCCATCTTGTGTTGTGTAGCCTTGAAGCCCAAACGTCTTGACCTCACCTGCGGGTCTGCTTGACTTCTTGACCCTCTTGTGTTATCTTATTATTTATATTATTATTGAATAGTGGTATTAATAAAACGATTACATAATAGATATCTTTATACCGGTGGTGGGGTGTATATTGTTTGTCACTCACTGACTCACTCACTCCCTCACTCACTCACTCACTCACTCACTCACTCACTCACTCACTCACTCACTCACTCACTCACTCACTCACTCACTCACTCACTCACTCATTCCTGCCTCACTCACTCACTGACTCACTCCACTCACTGACTCACTCACTCACTCACTCACTCACTCTGCTCTCCTCCATCCACTCTCTCTCTCATCCTCTCTCTCTCTCTCTCCTCTCTCTCTCTCTCTCTCTCTCTCTCTCTCTCTCTCTCTCTCTCTCTCTCTCTCTCTCTCTCGCTCTCTCTCCTCTCTCTCTCTCTCTCTCTCTCTCTCTCTCTCTCTCTCTCTCTCTCTCTCTCTCTCTCTCTCTCTCTCTCCTCTCTCTCTCTCGTTCTCCCCCCCCCCCTCTACTCTTACAATACACTTCCCCTAATCTTCATTTTATATGGTTTGATAGTTCCCGAATAAGACAGAATAGATTTGATTGAAAATGGGACAAGAGCTGAGAAAAACTGTAATGGAAGGGAGGACGGTGAGCAGAGGGGAAGAATAAAGAGAGGGAGGAAGGATGGGTGGCAGGAAAGAAAGTGCCAATGGGATGGGAAGGAAGGGGGACGGGGGGGGAAGGGGAGGGGTCAGATGGGGGGGGAGGAATGGCTTGGGGGTGATTAATGCTGCCATCCCTGACCGGGCCTCTTCCTCTCTGTCTCTGTCTGTCTGTTTCTGTCTCTGTCTCTCTCTTTGTCTGTCTGTCTCTCTCTCTCTCTCTCTCTGTCTATCTATCTATCCTCTCTTTGGCGCAGTCTGAGAACACAGCGTCCTAGGCTTTGTCCCCTGTCCACTCCGTGTCCGGTTTCTCCGTCCACTGTCCACGCATTGTCCCGTTCCTCTGTCCACTTTTTGCCCCGTGTCCGAACCACGCCCCCCCCCCACCTCCCCCCTTGTTGTGTCCACTAGCCAAAGGCCAGAGGGGGTAGATTAGCGAGCCAGGGCCGACGTAAATATGACGCTTGGGGCAGCGCACCTTTGAACAGCGCCTGCAGCTGCAAAGGGGCGACAATACCTGCAGGAGGAGGTTTTTTGGCGGTCTCGCGGTCTTGTAGCGGTCACCCCCGGTGTGTGTTCTCCCGGAAAGTGTGTAATAGAGGTGAAGGCTGTGGGCGAGACAGAGGCGGGAGGATAATAAAGAGTGGGGGGGGAGAGGAAGAGGGAGAGAGAGGGTGAGTCTCGGTGTTGTAAGACCTGTGAGAGGGAGGAACAGGGAAAGGGAGGGAAAAGGACGCTAGCCACCCCTTTCATTCGACCTAAATTTAACCTTTTAGAGTAAAAATAATAGACAAACACACACATGAATTACCGGGAGAGGTAAACCCTCACACACACACACACACACACACACACACACACACACACACACACACACACACACACACAAATGACACAATGAACGTAATTCAGACATCAACTCTTCAATTCCAAGTCTTTCATTTAGCCACATGTCTGAACTCATCATTGACTCAACTCACCTGAAATATTGATGAATGCAGATTTTAGAATGTTACTTTAGACACTGCAACCCTGGAAACAGAAACCGAAACTGTCCCTATTTTCCGCTTGTTACAACTTGTAATAAAGTTGTTACATCTTGGCTTAACGTGTATATGACGTATTAGAACGTTGTTACAACTGGCTATATTGGTTGTTATAACTGGTTAGGAGGTGTTAAAACGTGTTCGAACGTTGTACCAACGTCATAGTTTCGATGTGTGTTTGGCGGGTGAAGAGATTATTCGAGATAAGATTTCCAGTCGAGGGCATTCGCGCCAGCCACTGACTGACTCGCAATGTCGAGTCAATTGTCAATTGCCACTGACCCGCAATGTTTTCCGTCTTGTCCACAGGTGGCATCCGAACAGGAAGCTGCTCTCCAGATGCAACAAGATGCACTCAGGAAGCACCAGGAGACGCTGCAACTCCTCCAGCATCACAACACTCTCAAGACACTCCAGGTGAGATCAATCGTCAATCTCTATCTCTAATATTTCTTTGGCAAACACTATTTTCTTTGGCAAAGATTCAAGCTGATTTTTTTTTTAGCCTTCTGTATTTTTTTTTAAGATTTAAAATTTAGATTTAATAAAGAATGGGCTTCAGGATTTTATCCCATTAATCCTGAACACCTTACAGGATTTTATCCCATTAATCCCCAACACCTTACAGGATTTTATCCCAATAATCCTGAACACCTTACAGGAGTTTACCCCAATAATCCTGAACACCTTAAAGGAGTTTATCCCAATAATCCTGAACACCTTAAAGGAGTTTATCCCAATAATCCTGAACACCTTAAAGGAGTTTATCCCAATAATCCTGAACACCTTAAAGGAGTTTATCCCAATAATACTGAACACCTTAAAGGAGTTTATCCCACTAATCCTAAACACCTTATAGGAGTTTATCCCAATAATCCTAAACACCTTAAAGGAGTTTATCGCTAAAAATCTCGTACATCCTTCAGCTATGCTTTTAAACGAAATTCCTGCCATGACATCCAAAACTTTCTCACGTGAGGATGAAGGTCCATCAAAATATCTTCCCAATAATATTCCAATCACAGAGAGACTGCAAACAGCCGCGTTAAGGCGGGCTATGAATCACAAGCTGGTCGATCACAGTCTCATAAACCGACGCGAGACGCCGATCGACACGAAGCTGCACAAGGGGTTCGAATCCAGGTTCACATTTGCAATGTTCCGAAAGGGTCGTTAGTTGAGGGGGTCGTTAGTTGAGGGGGTCGTTAGTTGAGGGGGTCGTTAGTTGAAGGGTTGCTAGTTGAAGGGTCGCTAGTTGACAGGTCGCTAGTTGAAGGGTTGCTAGTTGAAGGGTTGCTAGTTGAAGGGTCACTAGTTGAAGGGAGCTGGTTGAGGGGGTCGTTAGTTGAGGGGGTCGTTAGTTGAAGGGTTGCTAGTTGAAGGGTCGCTAGTTGAAGGGTTGCTAGTTGAAGGGTCACTAGTTGAAGGGAGCTAGTTGAGGGGTCGCTAGTTGAAGGGTCACTAGTTGAAGGGTTGCTAGTTGAGGGGTCGCTAGTTGAAGGGTCGTTAGTTGAAGGGTTGCTAGTTGAGGGGTCGCTAGTTGAAGGGAGCTAGTTGAAGGGGAGCTAGTTGAAGGGAGCTAGTTGAAGGGGAGCTAGTTGAAGGGAGCTAGTTGAAGGGAGCTAGTTGAAGGGGAGCTAGTTAAAGGGAGCTAGTTGAAGGGGAGCTAGTTGAAGGGAGCTAGTTGAAGGGAGCTAGTTGAAGGGGAGCTAGTTGAAGGGAGCTAGTTGAAGGGTCGCTAGTTGAAGGGAGCTAGTTGAAGGGTCGTTAGTTGAAGGGAGCTAGTTGAAGGGAGTTAGTTGAAGGGTCACTAGTTGAAGGGTCGCTAGTTGAAGGGTCGCTAGTTGAAGGGTCACTAGTTGAAGGGTCGCTAGTTGAAGGGTCGCTAGTTGAAGGGTCGCTAGTTGAAGGGTTGCAAGTTGAAGGGTCGCTAGTTGAAGGGTCGCTAGTTGAAGGGTCACTAGTTGAAGGGTCGCTAGTTGAAGGGTCGCTAGTTGAAGGGTCGCTAGTTGAAGGGTTGCTAGTTGAAGGGTCGCTAGTTGAAGGGTCGCTAGTTGAAGGGTCGCTAGTTGAAGGGTCGCTAGTTGAAGGGTCGCTAGTTAAAGGGTCGCTAGTTGAAGGGTCACTAGTTGAAGGGTCACTAGTTGAAGGGTGGCTAGTTGAAGGGTCGCTAGTTGAAGGGTCGCTAGTTGAAGGGTGGCTAGTTGAAGGGTTGCTAGTTGAAGGGTTGCTAGTTGAAGGGTTGCTAGTTGAAGGGTCACTAGTTGAAGGGTCGCTAGTTGAAGGGAGCTAGTTGAAGGGTCGCTAGTTGAGAGATCGCTAGTTGAAGGGTCGCTCGTTGAGGGGTCGCTAGTTGAAGGCTCGCTAGTTGAAGGGTTGCTAGTTGAGAGATCGCTAGTTGAAGGGTTGCTAGTTGAGAGATCGCTAGT